GACTGTCGATATCCTTATTTTCGCTAGATAATTCAGCTGTATAAAGTTGATAGCGATAATCACAATATTCATAGCAACGATTGTTTTCTTGACAACAAATGCATTTGCTACAAACATAAACTTGTAATTTTTCATTTAATCTGGCGCTTGCTGAATTGGCGTCGTCTATATCATATGCAAACAAAACATTTTAATATTGATTTTTATTGCATTTTTTCAAAAATAATGATTTTACCTTCATACGGAACATACAATCTAGGACCTAAATACATGTATTTTACCTTCATTTGTTACGTACAATGTAATGAATAAAATGCAATTTCTTCAAAGATATAATAATGAAGTACATCTATATACATGTATATGCATAAGTAAATACACATGTAATTGTCAGATCAAATAACACCAAATCTTAATTTTATTACACGATAAGAATACTAAACATTATGCGACATTCTTCTACACTTCGCTCGCCTTATTAATCTAACATTTATTGAATATCAAAATCCATAAAGTAAGAATAACGTTAACCAGCTTCTCCAGAAATTAAAAACTTCTAACAAAATATATATAAAGAATAGCACTTGAGTCATCAATAAATGTAGAAATAGGACTTTGTACAATTTTTCTCTAAGTAATTAAATCTTGATTATCTTAATTTTTGTTGATTGTTAGGTATTTGAAAAATTGATTAATTCTGACAATGGCTTTGCTTTGATGAATAAGAGTTAAACCTTTTATCTAGATAAAGGTATTATGAATTAGTGGATTGATGGAAATTGTTAAAATAAATAACAACTTCTCTTTCCTATTTCCAAAAAACACCTTACCTTTATTTAAAATTCTGTAACCCTCTATTTCACCCGACCTATTGAACGATCGTAAATATGACAAGAGATGGAGTATAACAAGCATAATTAGTCTAATTACTCTCTCTTAACCTTTGTTACAGGAAAAATTCCCTAAATTCATTCAAGTATACTTTATATGTGACAACTGCAAACATATGTGCTATGATATTATAGATTTGACATTCATGCTGAAAACTCTTAAAGTTTGAAATTGATTTCTTTGTTATATTGTTATATAATGTGAAAATAATTTCAAATAAACACATTTGATTTTTAGTATATTGTAGTGAATTATATATGTTAAAAATATATATTGTTCATGGATAAATATTACAATTCGTACCACATGTAATGTAAAAGTTAAGGATCATTTTAATTAATAATTTTGTGCAAGTTTCCGATCATTTGACCCTTCCAAATGACATATTCTTTAATTTTACAATACATATATTAAGATTCGAATTATTAAAGGAATATACATATGTATGTAGTCATTTATTTTTATTTTTATGGGAATGTCACTCATATCACTTATATCACTTTTACGTCAATTAAAATGTCATAATCGGCGTAGATAGTGATGGCTAGGAGTCAAATCACTAGTATAAATTTACAGATGGCCTGATAGACATATATTTGCTATTGCTACAATATAAATTTCGTTTATTATAATAATCTACCCTGTAACGGGAATTTTTTATTCTATCAGGTCATCGGTGGGAACATTTTATTAATGTATGCAAAACTGATAGAATGATAAAAAATATTATAATTATTAATAATATTAATAATAATATTAATAATACAATTATTTATATAGGCCATTTAGTCAAAAACAATATAAAAAAAGGAACCCACCGTGACTATTCACTCTATAAATAATATCTTGTTACAACAATTTGTAAATACTCACGAAACGAAATACAAGATAACTATGACTTATTTAGAGTGGAGTTCTTCCACTACCTATTTATGTTAGGTACAAAAGAAATAAAGACCACTTGTACGCAAGCTTTAAGGTAAAGTATTTATTTTTATTTGATTAGAGCATATCGTCCAAAGGCTAATCTTCTGCTTTTTATATTAATCACATCAATATCCATCTTTTTTAACACATACTATCGTTTCTAAATAATAAATTCGAAGCAAAAGGATATGAATATCAAGGAAGATCGATCTAGAATTCTAAAGATCACTAAAGTTATATGTTTCTCCAGAGATTGAAAGGTTAAACAGGAATTAAAAGGAGTATGCGACAAAGAAATATAATATCTATTCTTAATATATTAGCAAGCTAAATATATTTAATTAAAAACTTAAGCTTAGAAGAGAAAATATGCTGGATATAAAGAAATATATATTGTAAATTTTTTATAGACTGTTTGAAATGCATTATGAAAAATTCAACTTTCCCAATAGATTTCTGGTCTGTATTCTTCAAAGCCTCTCTTAATTTTTTATTTTCGTCTTTTGTGATTTACTTTGCACTACCATCTGTAAATTTTTAGCCTTATCATGAAGTATTTTTTATACTCATTATTTTTATTCGACATAAATAAAAACCTACATAAACCGTATTTGGTAAAAAATCAGGTAGTACACGATCCTCAATAGATATAATAAAATATACATGTACTAACATGCTGATAACATTGATTCGTAAAAACAATACACCATGAGAAGAATTCTGTAATAAGACTCATACAAAATAGCACATGTAAAAGATGTAAAAAGATGAGTATAAATTAATTGGCAAATTTTTTTTAAAAACATTTAACTTTAGGGCAAACAGCACAGATTTGTAGATATTTTAAATTTATTATTGGAAGATTGTGAAATTAAATGTCTCTTGGACTATAATGCAGCTTCGAGATTTTTTGTGCTCCGAAACGATCGAATCAACCCGAATTATTTAACCCGACCCCGAGTTTTTAAATCGGGTCGGATTATTACTTAACAACACGGATCCTAACCCGTACAAGTCAGGATCATACCTTTGTACAATCCGGGTTATCGTTTGGTTATCATATGTACATGTATGATGATCAATAATACCCGGCAAAAAAATTTTCAGTCACATGACATTTTTAAGTGGTAAACCAATCAAATCGCAAGGACACTGTGTAATGAAAAATTCAAAGCAGAAAAATAGCTTGTATCTAAATTTTGTCTATGAAACTTCTTTCTGTGCTCTAATAAAAAAGGTTCTTTGCAAAATTTTACTGTATATCTTCTCACGTATAATATAATCTGAACTCTGGCCTTAACATTAAACTTAATTCCTAATCAAATGCTATTAATATTCATATCTTGCGATTTGATAGGTTTATCCCTTAAAAAAGTCATGTGAACGACAAATTTTGTATTTTTCAAGTTTGCTACCGATCCAAATTTTTTAACAAAATTCGAGTCAGTTCGAGTTGGTACAAGTTGGTTAATTAAGGGTCGAGCCGAGTTCGGGTTATATAAATCTAACCCGAGTATTTATATATTTTAATTTTTATACTCGGAATATGTCCAAAACCCGACCAGATTCGACCCTTCGGAGCACTAATTGCTTTTTGCGAATTGAATTTAAAAGTTATAATATCATTAAATTTATCACGCTTCTAATGACATAAAAGATGACGTGAACTAACTCACTAATCTATTATTAATTATACACGATCTAATGTTTTGATTCATGATGTAATGGATATATGAATATAACTATATAAATTAAGCTAAGATGATGCGCAAAAATTTGCAGTTATTAATATGTTAATAAATGTTGTACTTCAGATAATTAAAAGAAAAGCCTAGTAACTTCGTCTTTCGCAATATATTCTTTGCAGACTTGACAGAAAGAAATCCTATATTTTTTGTATAATGTCCCACAGTCTCCACAAACCACATGTCCACAGTATAATACACACATCCCGTTCTCCATTCCATGATTACATCTAGAGCAAATCACAATCGTATCTTTATCCAAATCTGTTGTGAATCCTTCACGTGGTAATGGTGAATATTCGCGTTCTTCTTCAGTTTGAGGATATATCTGGCCGTATAAATGAATTCTTCGGCGAATTTCTGCTTGACATTTGGCTTTATATTATCATAATCGGGCGCCTCCTCATTATTATAATCGAGTTCCTCATCTGAAATGTATATTATTTCAGTTTGTCCTTCATTTTCCTCGTTCTCTTCATTGTCATCCACGAGATTAATATAGATATGTTTTATCGCATTCTGGGTGACATTTTGAGATGAGTTATTGGAATTTTCGGGTGGAACTTGCTCTTCACTGTTATTCAATAGAGGATGCTGATTCTCTATTATTCATCGAGGTTTCCCCATCAACCACAATATCAATGTAGATGGGTTGTAGAAAGGTATAATTTTCAGATTGAATTTGTTCATTATTTTTCTCCTTTTCACTGCACTCAACTCAATTACCTCCTCAACCGTAGGTGCTGGTTCATTACTATTCATCGACGTTTCTTCTGCTTCTTCAACGCTGAATCTAATTACGTCGCTCTGACCCGAATTTTTAGAACTTGTCGTTCGTGAGATTCTATCGCCTCTACGACTGAAACGATTTCGTTCCACTCCGGTGTTGTTGTCTTATATGTTTTGTGGCTGAATTCGCTTACCACTTCTGCGGTCTTGAATTCTATAAGGTTGTGCCATTTTCGCTTGTGTGAAAGCTGGTATATCGTATATGATCGAAAGAAACCCATCCTGGTGATCGGCAGTTAAACGGAAAAATATTTAAAAAATGAAAACACTATATACAACGACGGGGGAGAAAGCACGGCAAAGAGAAAGAGTAATAAGGTCTGTGCAAAGTAGAACCGATTATTAAGTAGTCATTCACTACAAACTAGCACTACAAGCGTATAGGTGACGAATGAGCTCAACAAAAACCAGGTCGTTGATTACCTGTGGTTTTTTATGATACTACTTACTACTAGTCTTAGTAATTAGCACTTCGCTTTTGTTTGGTTGATTCTGTCTAAGCATAATAGACGATAATAAATCTCCTTGTATTTTAGATAACGATAAGTGACGGGTTTTTTGTACTGCTGTGTAACCAAAATTAACATAACAAGAAAATATATACCGATACAGTACCGATATATGACTCGGAGCAAATGTGATATGAGCTTTCAAAAATGTAAATCACGAAAGCTTTATGATTCTGATTACATGTACTATGCATTAAGTCAGCCTCAAGATAGCCAAGTTAACTTCACGAATATTGATAAAAGTATGTTGATTACAAATTCATATATCATTAGTTATTTTTGAAATGATAACATGATGATAATGATAAAGATAGTAATGATGATATGATTTTATCACACTTTAAAAAATGTAGTATCAACATATATTATTGAGAAACTGATGTATTTTTATATAATTGGACAAGTGTATGCATGTATGGATGCTCGCAATATCAAATATATACATAATAATTACTATTATTATCTGAAAATTACCAGTGATTATATTTTAAGCTCATAAATTATAATATATAATATAAATTGAAAATATACTCTTCTTAATATATAAATTTTAATTGAATTTGGATGAAATGGGATAATGTCCAATACAATAGTGCTTCATCTAATATTAACAAGATTTTTCTTCTTTACACATTTATATACTGTCAAAATACTATCAGACAAAAGATTATTAAGTATAATAAGATTAAAGTACTCTAAGACTCTGCAGATTAATTTTGGTTATTCCTATCTAAATCAAGATTTTCTCTCTTTGTTTGAATGCAGATTAAAAATTATTTAATAAAATTATGATTCAGAGTTAATTCTTGAATAATTTTGGATAGTTTAAACAAAAATTTATTAATAATTTTGTTTTAAATTGCAAATTTATAATTTATTTATACAAAAAAAATAATAATTATAATATTATATATACTAATTATTATAAAATTTATTAATTATAATGATAATAAAAAAATGATAATCAAATAATATGATTTAATTTATGTAATTTTTATTTAAAAAATCTTAAAAAATTAATTATATCTAGTCTATATTATATACTTTGATTTTAATACTTTGTTTTATATTCTTTATTATTTATAATTAGTTCAAGATATTTTAATATTGATTATACTAATTTTTGACATAATCTCACATTGATTTTTTCTTACTTCTTCCTTATTATTCTAATAAAAATCTCTTGTAATACAGATTTTTTTTATAAATTATCAAGTTAACCCTTTTCTTGGTCCTTTTTTTCATAATTAATTACAAGTTCTCAATTAGATTAAGATTTGACAAGTATAATAGTTATAGAAATACTAATTATTCAATAAAATAATTATATGCTTAGCATAATACTTAGAATAATTATTTTATTTATTTTATTAAAATATCTACTTGTTACTAAGAATCTAATTTGCATACTTAAATAAATTTTTAATTAATATTTTATAATATAATTCATTATCTATAGTTCTTACAAAAGTTTTAAATCTAATAACTTTTTATACATGTTCTTTAAATAAATATTTTATAATTCTTTAAGTTAATACTGATTATTCAGCTTTATAATAAATCTGAACTATATTTCAAAATATTTGAAAGATAAATTTATTAGAGAAAATTATAATATTTTATTATTTTTTAATATTTTTTCATTTTGATAAGTTAATATTATTTTACTAATTTTATAAGAAAAGAAATCTTTTGTAAAATATAAATCTTAAATTCAAGTTTTTATAAGTTTTATCAAACTATCTATAATATTATATTTAAATTAAATTAAATATTATTAAGAATCTTTACTATCTTACTTATTATACTTTTTTTAATTATAATTTATTCAAGATATTTTTATTATCCAAGACTAAGTTTTTTTTAGATAATCTGAATATCAGTCTTGCTTTAGATTATTTATTTTAGTAAGCTTAATAATTTATTTATATAATATTATTATGGTGAATTGATAAGTAGGTTTTTACTTTGATTCATCCTAATGATATAGGGTTGGGAAAGACTGAAATAATAAAAGGTAACGAGAAGGGAATTAGACTATAACTTTCAATAATAACAAAGATTTCTAAGATCTGTGCCAATATCTATGGATATTATCTCAATAAAGGGTAAATAAATAAAGAAAGAATAAAATAAATCAAAGAAATT